ATCCTTATCCCAAACTTCCTGGAATGATTACTATACAGTGCCACACAGTATGTTCTTTGTTTCATAGGGGGGAGAGAAGTGCTGAACCAGAAATCTTCTCCTAAATGCAGAGAGATGGATAAAACAGAAACTCATACTTACTTTTTTCTACCCATCCCTACTCTGGACAATAACTTCTAGTGTGAAGCATAGTATCCAACTTTTGACCTACTTTATTAAATGACATAGGTGACCATTGTTCTCAGGAAACATTCAACAACTATAGAGATCAAATGAAAACAGAGATCTAGTTACTATGTAGGGTTGGTAGGATCCAGAGTCATAGATTAGGCAACTCTCAGATGTAGATGCATATTATTTTTTCCCTTTCTAAGTAGCCTGTTTGGTATGGGTAGACACCTAATTATCTCAGAAATAAAATAACAAATAAATGAAGTGTACTATGCCTTGTAGACCACGTTGCATTATAAATACAGATGAGAATGCATATGATCTTCAAAACTCGGACTTCTTGAATTACTGTATATATGAGCTACTCTATAGCTCATTCCTTAATATGAATTTACAAAGCCGCAACTACATGCAAAGAATATTTCATCATCACAGTTCCTTATAAACTATTTGCAGCTTACTGACCAGCTGGAAGCATCTTGTAAGCAGTTTCATTTCTCTCTAATCTTCCTTTTACAGGGAGAAGAGTAATATTAAATTCAGGACCATTTTCCTTTCAGATGGATACCAAATTGAGTTCCAAAACACTGAGAAACAAATGATGTTCTTCCAAATGCCAATTCAATGACCAAAGATGCAATCACATATATTATTTCTTTGCATCTTCATGCACTACAGTTGTTATTAGGATCTTCCTCTTCCTCCTAATTATCATCAGCATACATTCTTTCCTAAAACCTTCTGGAGTTTTTAATTTTAAGGCTGATGAAGTATCACATTAGCTCCTTGATAAAAATATTATGGTTGTAATTTTCTCCTTCGTTGACTACTAATAGTAGGGAAAAGAATAAGAATTTACTGAATACAATCACATTGCACTTTTAATAACACGTGTGAAGAATAAGCAGAGAGAGAGAAAAGAGAAACTTATGGGAGCCAGACATGTAGAACAATATTTGCTTTGGTTCTATGGATAAAATAGATTTTATACATATTTTACAACAAATCTGAACTCTCATATAGAGACTCTCCTTCTATTCAAAGTCTATTTTTCCTAGAACTGAAATGCTGAGAAAACAGCATTCCAAGAATCAGAAGTGATTATGTCCAAGTGTTTTCTATGCCAGAGGTTTTTTTAAAAGGCCCTTGGCAGTACAAAGTTGATTACAGACATAATTAAAATAATGTAATATTTAAATACATAAAGAAATCTTATTACACAACAGAAATCAGCAGCAGGTAAGTATGTATCATTTTCAATAATATATGTTTGTTGAATTCATCCAAAAAGGAGAATTCTAACTGAACTGCCTTGTTTTTCATTTAGAAAATGAAACAAAAGCATGACCATAGATAGATAGATAGATAGATAGATAGATAGATAGATAGATAGATAGATAGATAGATAGATAGATAGATATAACTAAGTTACTGGAATAAGTAATTTTGATTTTATCAAAGGTAATTTTGAAAGTAAATAATCTGCTATTTTTAAAATAAGTTTCGTAGTAGTAGCTCTACTATTTCTACAAAAGAATGAACCAAAGAACTACATATTAATGAACTATTTATAGTCTTCTTACATGAAATAACAAATTAAATCATAGTAAGAAAACCAGATAACTTGAAATAATATACCCCGACCAGGATATTAATATAATGAGTCCTTATCAATGCAATGTTTTATTTTCATCAGATTATAAAATTGTATGTAATCATTTAATTGAGCAAAGAAATTTGATTTCTACACTAGATGTTTCTAAGCATGTTTATTCAGAATTTGTACCATTGCTATTGATTAGAATTATTCCATAGTTCAGTGTCCTTATGATAGCAGCAAGCATCATATTGAACTGTACATTATCATATTTCAAGGTATCTTGTATCATTAAAATAATGAAACATTTGCATAAGCAGCTCTCTCTCTCTCTCTCTCTCTCTCTCTCTCTCTCTCTCTCTCTATATATATATATATATATGAATTATTTAAGCATATCATTTGCTTTCTCTCTCTTTTATATTAGTTACAGAACAAAATTATTACATTACATGCTTCTTTTATCCAGCTCTTGTTACTTTAGGCTCTGGTAACTGTGAATGATACTGAATAGTAAAAGGAACTTATAAAAGTTAAATTCCTAAAAATATAGCTAGAAATTTTGTAGATCTGCTTTTGCTATTAAAAATCTCAAATCTTAATTGCTAGAGCTGGGAAATATACAATACTATATAATATAATTCAATAGTTTTGTGCTAAGAACACAATGGGCAGTTGTTTAATGAAGGCAAACTCACACCATGAACCTTAACACATTTTGCTGAAGTAAGTTTCATTGACCTCAACATGGCCTCTATAAGATGAGCATATTATGTTTGAGAAATCCAAGGTATTATACTGATTAGAATTCATCTTCAGTTTGCATCTAGAAGGAATTGAACAGACCAATAGGAACACAGATTTAGATAATTTCAGAGCTTCCTTTGGAAACATCTGATCACAGTTTTTTTCCCCCTTCTTTAATTCCTAGAAATAAAAAAATTACCAGTACTGAATTTTTTATCGTTATTTAAATGCATGTTTACCAAAAGTTTAGGAAGATGTATTCCCACTCTGGAACTGTGATGTGGCAGTTATCAAAGTGATTTACAACTATACTATGCTCAAATTATGATTTTACAAAAAGCTTCTATTCAAATAATATTACTTCAAAATCTAGAAATTATTAAAACTTCCATGGTCAATAACTTGTTATGCATGTACTGAGCCAGTATTTAACAAAACTAATTTTATAAGCTATACAACAAACTACAAACCTATTCCAATATTATATATTAGTTAAATATCTAAAGAGAAAGATCTCTTAATTATTTTTAGCCAGACAAAGCACTTAGGTAGTTGCATATTAAGTTTCTGTTCTGAATCCGAAGTCAAGAATATAGTCCAACTATATTGGATCACTGGCCATATAGAATGTTTTAAAAAACCGAAGCATTATATGTAAATGAATACATAATTTTTATTTTCATGTTCGCAGCCATATATAAATTACAACCACTTATACCTCCTATTTATTTGGGAGTACATGTTCCTGCTTAAAAAAAAAAAAAAAGTTGATTGTATTATATGTCTCTCCACTTAGCAACTTTTTTTAAAAAAAACTTCAGTTATATTTTCTAATGCTTTTATAGTTTATGTGCTTTATTAACACAATGAATCTATTAGTTAAACATATTTTTATGCTGGCTATTTTCAGAGCTGTAAAATGCATCTATTACACTTTAACTAAGGAATTGGTTTACTGTATTATAATTCGGACTACAGCTATGTAATACTGAATAACTACTAAACTGACAGAATGTGCAGACCTTCAAATTCTTTTTTAAAAAAATGTCTGAAGCTATCCCAGGTGCTTGCATTTCAACCACTGGATTCAGTTATTGAAAACAGATGGGCACCACTCAATCCATAAATGCAAGTGTACAGCACATCCATATACAGTATAAGATTTAATTATAAGAGATGTGCAAAACAAAATTCCCACCCATCACATTTGTAAATACACACATGAATCCATGGTGAATTTTATGAGTGACTTCTTGTTAGCTACCACAAGAACAAATCAAAAGTAGTTTGAAGGTCCCAATCATACAGTATGTAACCTGTTAAATGCGTAGATTTTACAGAGTTTAAACATTCCAATATTAAACACACATTCAACCATTTTTAACATTTTTCTCCCAAAACAAAGTCTTCTAAACTTTATTTTTCACAATTTATAATAAGTAATTATTATAATTTTAAGAAACTTTTTCTTTAAAACTTAAATTAATGAGAAAAATTTCTTGAAAGGTATTTACTTACTCTTCATTTAGCTCTAATGAACTGAAGAGTTAAAGAAACCTTCTGTATCTTGACGTGTTTTGAAGCAAAGCTTATCACTGTAAACTGACCCAAATGAGATATGCTTATATTGATTTTCTGGGAAACTATATATATAAGTACAAACCTTCTGTACCACTAAGCTCAATGAAACCTATTCTGAATGGTGAGTAGTCTCAAAGAAAGTAAAATGATAATTCCAACAATTTTGCATACCATGAAAAAAGAACCTAGAATGAAAAGGAATGTTTCACGTCCATGTATAAAGTCATTTTGACATGCCTACACAACTGGTTATGGCAGCTTTCAGAGTAATTCCTCATCACAAAAAAGAAAGAAAAAATGCTCCAGGTTCTTTTAGAGAAAGCTCTCCGTTGGGAAGTTGATTCTGGCCAAGTGCCAAAATCATGTGCAAAAGGGGCCCTCATTACCAATTCATGGCAGCCTTCAACGCTAACAAAAAATGTGACCCAACAGGCTAAAGCAACAACAAAAATTAAAAAGTATGAGACAAAGACAACTTACTTAATATTCCCTTCAGAGCTACATTAAACTTTAGTCATTCAAACCTTATTAGTCCAAAGCTATTCTCAACTGCATTTCAATTTTTGGGCAGATACTCTCTAAAAGTTGAAAGCATGCTTTGAATCTCTTCCCAAATCCTAGGACTTTTTAAAAAAGTATTTCTATGCAATAGCTGAACTTTTTTTCCCCCATATTCATACCTAGAAATCTTCTAAGCAGGCATAAGAATACCCAACACATTTATTTCTATGAACACTCTAAAGCTAAATAGAACAGCACAGCATTTTGCCAGTTTTCAAATAGAGCAAATTCTTATTCAGACTTTAAGGATATATTTATGAAAGCAAGGCAGTTTAGCAATTTGCAATTAGCTGAAATTCACTACACAGTTTCTCAGAAACATAAATTTGATAGTCAGCCTTACCTAGATGCCGTCTGGCTTTTCTGTGGATCAAAAAGTTTCCTGCCTAAGCACACAGATATTCTTTCACAACCCATAAAGGCCCCTTTTATTAATCCAGGACGGTAACAAACTTCTTTCTGCACCATATTGGGAGCAGGATGCATCAGCTTTCAAGACAGAATGCATTTTAATACACAAATGTTGGCAGATTGCATAATACTGGATTGATCTTCAAGAGGGAAAGGACTTTTGAAAAAAACAAAACAAAAAGGGTAAGAGGGTGCGGTTAGATGTTAGGCTATCCCTGAGAAAAGGCCTAGGCTGCACTAGTACCTAAATGCTAGCAGAAGCTTACTGGGAAAGGAGCCAATGGAATGACTTTGTTTGACCCAGCTGCCAATCTCTTCTGAAGCAGTGCGCCAGACTAAACACTGACACTATTTTAACTCAAATCAGGCTACAGCAGCTGTTTGCTTTCCTGCTCTGAGCTATGCACCATGGCTGTGATGACTCTGCATGGCATTCTATCAGGTTAAAATATGTTCCTTGTTTGGTTTGTCATATAGCAGTCATTATGTTTAACCACTTCCTCTCTCCTGGTAAAAGAAAGATGATCTTATGCGATTGCTGAAATTTCCCGTAAGGAAAAAAATGCTATGGAATTCTAGAGGTTATGAATAAGTAGAAAGGGTAGGGAACTAGCAGCAGCACGAACAATACTAGGATTGCTAGAGAAGACTTCATCCCCAAATCTATCAAAGTATATTGTCTGACATGATTATAATGCTCTAACAATAATATATTTCATGTTCAGTTATGGGCTATATTTTAACTAACCCACTGTAGTGGTGCTGATGGTGGCGGTGATGATTATCATTTGGGCAAGAAGAGGGAATCTATCAGGGATACTTAGATAACATGACCAGCAATGCCAGACTGAAGATACTTTGTCTACCACTTCCTACAAAGCACTTTTTGCAGGGAAATTGTCGGTAACTTCTGGGCTAAGTAATATCCATGACTCCTTCCTTTAAGACAAACTGTTTCTGACAATCCTTACTATATAACACATTTCTATTCTCCAGCTATACTGAGACTTCTGCTGTCAGCCACCAGTCTGAGTAGAACATAGCTACAGCCCTGTCCCAGCCTTTCTGCTTCATTCTTGTCTGTAATTCTTAACTCTTCTGCAAATGTAGCTAGCTGCAATATAAGTCTTAGGTTTTATTAGCCATACTAGGGAAGATGGAGAGACATACCAGCTTGCAAATATTCTACAAGGTGAACACTTAGATTCTGCCATGTAGAAACTCTTGAACATGCTTCATTGTGCAGCACTTGTAACATATGAGAGCTTCTCACTATAAGAGGGTTGTATAGAGGTTTTTCATGCAAATATTTGATGGTTGTTTGTGAAGGCTTGAAAACTGCTGACTGGATGATATGCTGACATTCATAATTAGCTGCATTGGTAAACAAATTTATCACACTTATAATGGCTTATGATATTACAAACTGAATTCCATCGTTTGCCACAAGCTTGATCTCCAGTTTCATGTGCTGAGCATTCAGCAAGCAATGTGCCTAAATTCAGCTGCTTAGCATAAACTTTCTAGGTTCACACAGAATTAAGTTCACAGTAAATTCCTACTCAGTTTTTATTTATTTGTATTTATTTCTTTAAATTATTTACATTCCTGCCAATCTCACAAGAGTGACTTTATTGATTGCTGTGGAACTTTCTGACCTGCAAAGACATCAGGCAATAATGACTTATTTTTGATAGGCTTGATTGCTATGAACTACTTGACTGGACCAAACAGTGTGTCAGGTTCCAGCACACTTGCAAGCTTGCAGGTCATGGCAAGCACACAACAATTTGTAGAGATTTCAGCCATGGCATTCAGAGACAGATAGTGTTTCAAAGGTAGGCAAGAGAGCTAGTCATGAAGGCAGCAACTACAAGAGTGTAACTATACATCTCAAGGGTTAGAAGCAGGAGGTACAGCAATGAACTTCTGAAGATATATTTCACTGCAGCTAAATAAAAACCAGTGGCTTCTTGGCAGGAGCCAACCACAGTGGCACAATGATAAGGTGACTGAGTCTTCCAGAAACCTCCTTAATACCTCGAGCGTCCTTAACACTTTACATATTCTTTTGTCTGGAGAAGCTCTTCTCTATTTGTCTGCTGCTTCTTGCCAACAGAATTTGGCAAGAATTGAACTTTGAGATAGGTTTGCTTATTTTGGGATGGAAAACCTATTGAATTTCCAAGTGGCTCTCTCCTGTGGCTGGTGCTGGAAATTACAACTTCTAATATAATAAGATACATGCATTAGACACAGTTAATATACACAAAGCAACAGTATAAAGCAGATAGTAAACAATGGATTCCTCAAACCCTTAATGTGCCCACTCTTCTAGACATATGATAGTAATGCAGTTTTTTAAAATTATGTAACTATTATAAACAAGTACAATTTCAACAAAACTTTTTGAAACTGACCATAAGAAACTGGAAGTAACCACTGTTAGAGCATTTTTGCTATTGAAAATAATCTGTATAGCCAAAAGCTTAATAAATAGGGAAACTAATTATTATGTTACTTATGGCCTGATTTGAGAACAATGTTCTCAAATGTTAAATGGACAGATCTTGGGGTTTTGCACTTCCCTGTATTCTTCTGGTAGAGGTTCTGTGTCATAAATTCCTGAAAATGTTAAAGCATAGCCAGCACAATCTAAGCATACTTATTAGCTTATGGTTAATAAATGCAAAGCAGTTTGGGCTTGCCAGAGAAGTAATATGATTCTCTTTGTTACAGAAAGGGGCAAACAACTTTGCTTCAACAAGGCACTTTGCCACTTAACCTGTCTTGACCAGCAAGCAGTTACAAAAGCATTAGAAGCAAAGTGTTCCTTCTCTTAGAAGTAAGGGGATTATGCTGCTTTATGAAGCATCTTCCAGGGGAAGCTTCATTCAAGTCCCAGTTGAAGAAAAAGCTCCCTTCAGATATTGGAACTAAAATCCAGATCTGAATGCTAAGTGTTTCCTAGCAAAGTGTAAACAACTCATAAGTCTGCCTATATATATATATACATACATACATACATACATATGTGTGTACTATGTTGAGTTTTTTACTCTTCAATATAAGCAATTCATACAAAAAAGAGACAGAAGAAATTTTCACAAACAAGATATTCCAAATATCATATTTTTCTCCTCATTTATTGAAACAGATCTAACAAAAATTCACATATATTTATAAAAACACCCACACCCACACAACAGAGCATTCGAACATTTTAGTTTTGACACACAGATAACATTTATAAGGGTCATTCTAAATATTAAGAAAAATACTAAAAATTATAAGATAACATTTCATACAAACATACATACATGCTTATCATGCAGTTCCTTCCAGGAAAAGCAGTGTTATGCACTGTGGAAAAATGAGTAAGAAAGACTTAGCCAAAGAAATTAAAGAAGAAAGAGAGAGACAGAGAGAGAGAAGGAAACATAGTTAAATGAGTTTACTCTAATACCATTAGAGTAAGTATTTGTATTATATTCATCTACCACTTTATGCATGTTCTCTCCTTCCTTTTTTGAGGATCTCCTCACCTATATCCAATACACATTTCTTGTTCTTCTCTTTCTCTTGATCCATTCACTTTTCCTTTACACATGCACACACAGTTTTGTGATTCAATCTTCATTCATTCTCTCCACATGATCAAACTAACTCAATATACATATTTTGTAACGCTCATTCACTTGTACGTTCAGTGTACATTCATTCAGCACGCATTAATTCTTGAACAGGTACATTCTGATTTTATCATACACATTTCTTAAGTAGCATATTCACACTGTATTCAACTTGCTTTTATGTTTTTTCTCAACATGCTCAGCTCTCACTACCATATAAAAATGTGGGCTGAAGAATGTTCACACATATCACCATTTTTCCTACTTTTGAGAAACATTCATTCCTCATGGCACACCACATAATATACACTACTTTTCTAAAAGTATTTATATGTCGTAAAATTTCTGTATCCATTTCCCCATCTTTACTAAGCATTCTACCAAGATACACAGAATAATCTGTTTGTGCTTGCTATTTATGTAGAACATGCAATATTTCACTCCATTTTTCCTGTCAAACACAATAGTCTTTGAGAGAGTAATTATCTCATGTGTGTGTCAGAAGTTTATAATATCTCTGAGTTGCTGGTATATAAACAACAATATATTGCTAGCAAGACAACCTCAAGAGCAGACATTCTAACTTGCATAGAAAAGCATGTGCATGCTTGAGATAAAAGAGATCACTGGTTGTGCCAATGGCCTACTAGCCAAAATGGACCAAAATGGACTAGCACTGTCCTTTCAGCTAGCATGGAATAGTTATCATTAAGATGATAAACCAGCCTATGCCTTCTTTTATTGAAAAGACGTTATGCAGAAGAAAACATTTCTGTTCTATAAATGCATGCACGTGCTTGAGCAGACATACATAGCAACTTTATAATTATGCAATTTATTCCAGATTTTGAGATCATTTTTGTAAAAAAATATTGTTTACTGGCCAGCACAGGGTTTTGGACTGCAATAAATTAATTGTTTAAAATTAGAAATTTAAACATTTAGCCAACAAAGGAATAAAATAACAGCAATTTTAATAATTTTAAAAAATTTCAGGAGAACAACTATAGTAACACTCCTGAACTGAAGGAGTGCTCACTGAACTCACTTGGAATAATCAGAACATCTGAAAGGAAACAGTACAAGTTCATGAATCATAGACTGCAGACCTCTAATCAGCATGAGGTGGGGCAAATGCTGTGTCCCCACCCTCATACGCTGGTCCCCTCTTCTCCTCCTCCTCTTCTTTCTTTTTTAAAATTCAGTGCATTGAAGCAATGTGGCAGCACCTATAATGCAAGCAGCAAGAAAGAAAAGAGATCACAGATCCTAGTGGGCCATGACCAAAAAATAAAATTGGATAGTGTAAGATAAATGAAGAAGAGATGACAAATAGAGCAGCTAGTTTCAGGAATAGGAAGAAGGGGTTCAGATCAGTAAAGAGAAGAACAGGAAAAAAAAAGGATAATAGCATAAGAATAAAAACGGGGAAGAAAGGTGGCAAATATCCCAAGTACAACGTCAAACAAAGTGGTTTGAGTGAATGACTGGATGAAGGTTAGGAAAGTCTGAACTGACTGAAAACTGTTGAGAGTTTATTAGCCTGGTAAATACCTTTGATATATTAGAAATGGTCAGCTAGATGTCGGGTACCTATATAATCTATGAAATGTACA